GACGCCCTGCTCTGGAATGTACCAGGAAATGCACAAAATAACAGGCATTATTAGAACCTAAGGAGAAATCCCATGTTTTTAAACAATTACTAAAACAGTATAGTAATAGCATAAAGACAATTTCTGCGCCAGCTTGTTTCTTTGAAATTCTCTCTGCCACTGAACAGCTAGAACAGATAATAACTATTAGTAAATCAAACTCCTCTGCAATATCCAGCTGTGACTCACACATTTACATACAGATAGAATGGGTATATGTTTTTAATATGTATGTGATCCGTACTTTTACCACAGCCGAAGTGCATGCTACAAAGGAGGAGGAGAATGGGAATCGGATCAGCATGAGATAATAAAGTGGCCTAGATAAAGTATTAGCCAGCGATTGATCTCAAACCGGGATGCTGCTTCTTCTGACCTGATTACTTACTATGCATAGATTCCATTAAATAGAGCTTAGACATGGGAACCTTCTGGAAATACTCTAAATGCATAGAAGGATCTACAGCACTCTGAACCCAAATTGTAACTGCGGAGGGGTGCCCACGGCCCGTACCCTCCCTGCCTGAGTCAAGGCCCACGTTCAGGATAGGCTGGGAGGTTAAAGGGCCACCTGCCAGCTGGTGGGCGGCCCTGCTGAGTCCCACAGGGAGGGCCTTTCCCTTCTCTCCCCTGCGCCAGGCCAGCACCCTCCGAGTGAATGCCTCCCTCCCGAGCTGCTCATCTGGTCCTGGCTGCACTGCACTATCTAACAGAATGAAAAGGCAGCGAGGGGGCTTAACAATCATTCAGGGTCATGGTCCCGTATGAAAAACTGATGACAGCCCCGGATTCCTCTCTTCAGAAAAGAATGCAAATCCCCACCTGCATACACGACATTGGATGTAATTTCAGGGGCTCCAACAGACTTCCTGAAGTCAGGGATCTGAGGTCAAGGACTGGTGATCTCGTCCATCCCCTCCGTTTTGCAGATGAAGACACTCAAAGCTGGGAGGGAATGGGGAGCTACTGACAAGGGAAGGGAAGTGTGGAGCCTTCCCTGCTAAAGCTCAGCCTGACCTTAGCTACCAGAGAACCCTGCAGGAAGACTCATTGGGCAGAAGGCATTCTCTGTGGCTTACACGAGCAAGGGTCTACCCAATAATGTTTCTCACCGTATCCTCTATTCAAAAACATAACAATTTGAATAGCAAAGCCAGATCTGAACCTCTCCATCTTAAGCCGTCTGTCTCTGAATTTAGGGGTCTGATTTTTATTTTTTTGCGTCCTTCAATCGAATTATTGACATTCTGGGAAAAGGTCTCCATCACCCTTGCTTTTATCATCTTCTCCCTCCTTGCCATGTTCTCGCCAATCCTTTCTGACGGGCAGCAGTTGTCCCCCACTCCACAGAAGCCGAGACATCGCTGCGTTGTCTGAAGCCTGGTGAACATTCTGCCTGCCATCTCTGCAGGGCTTCCACAGCCTGGAAACTTTTCTAAGTTTCTGGGTCCTACTTCACAGAGCTGGGTGGCGCTGACATAGGTCTTCCCTGTGATTTACACCAGGGTGATGTAAAAGTGGGTTCTTTTACAATGGAATCATTTTCTTAGGAGCAGAAAGAGTATGTGTGGGGTGTCAGCATGTTGGATGTTCTTGGCCGCCTGCGTGGCTGGATTTCCTTTGTTGGGTTTAATGCTGACTCCCAATTTATGCAATAGCTCTTAAAGGACTGAAGGATGAAGGGTTTCCCTATATTTGAATGGGAGTCCACTCCTGAAAAAAGGTGTGTTGCTTCCATGTCAGGTCCAAGTTTTCAGACTTGGACTAGGGTTTCTTCTCTAAGAAGAAAGGGTTTCTCCTATAAGAAGTGTAATTTTTTTAACAGATCACCCTGCTGGTAGTGAATGTGTTGCCTATCTGAACTCCCCCTTTGTGGGGGACTCCACCAGGCCAATGTCAAAAGGATTTCTGTTCCAAAAGGCACTAGAGGTCTCACACTGCTCTGAAAGTCTGGAGCCTCTATACACTCATGCTTTGCCCAGCCTGTTTCCTTTGCCTGGAATGTCCCCTTGAAAACTCTCTACTAAAATTGAGTCCATCCTCCAAAGGCCCTTTTCAAATGCAACCTTCTCCATGTAGCTTTTTCCATTTTCCCCAGTGAATCCCCACAGAACTCTGTAGTTCTGAGTTACTTTATTTGAGCAATTTCATACTTGCTGTGTTCCCTGCAGGACTGTATGAATCTGGCTTACACTTGTATCTTCTGTTGAGTCTAGCACAGGACTTTGTACATCATGGTCTATAAATATCTGCTGAACTAAATTGTTTATCTGGTTCTGAGATTTCCCAAGATGATGTGGATGCTACTGATGACTTCTGAATGAGTTCTTTATGTAGCTTAATGGCTACATGCCAGAAACACGTATCAGTTCACATGAACCCTGGACTCCCCAAAATGTGAGCGTTAAGGGAATTTCTTGGTCCAGCTTTAAAATACTTCCACTTAGAACACAAAAACTGATAACCATCTCAGGAACAACCACACAAGGTAGAATTAAACAACTAAATACCTAGATGAGTCCTAACACTGGGATTTTAGTGACTTCAAGAATCTAAACTTAAGTTTTACACTTCATCTTTAAGACTGACATGGTCAAAAATTGCAAAGATGATGGTTTTAAGACTGGGGTATTCTGGATATAAGGTAACCACACCAGATAAAAAGACAAAAACTGCTTGCATGCCCACTGTGTGCATGGCCCACCCCTCCCTGCAGTCTGATTTACTTAAGCAGGGCTTGCTGTGTTCACCGGTGGTCACAGCCACACAGGAGTTCCCTGGTGATGAATCTAACTCTCAGTGTTTCCACCCAGGCCCATCTCTGATTTCCTTCCTTTGGTTTGGACAATCCTGTAGGCCTCACAGTTGATGTGGCCCGGGCTGTGCAGACTACATCAGTGCCCTGCTGGCTGGTGCTACGGTGTTAGGGAGATAAACTGCTCTCTTTTTTGTGAAAGGCAGGCCCCCACCCACACTGACAAATATCCTCTCCAGTTCATGCATTCCAGAGGATGTTCTCAGCTTCCAGATGGGAGCACCATCAAATAGGTTGTAGGCGGAGAGGGAAAAGGAAAAATTAAAGCCATTAATATGCAGGAAGAAATAAAGAAGCTGGTTTCTTAAGACTGGGGGGCTCCTAGGACGTGACTCAGGTTCCTCAAGCCAGGTACAACCTACTTTCTTTCCCATCCCATATTTGGCTCAATATTGTGGTCAGAGGCAGGCAGGGCCCTACCCTCTTGACCACAGGAGGCTCATACACATTCCAAGTTCTCTGCCTCCTCACAGAGCCCTTTCTAAGCCAGGGTGCCTCACTAGTGCTGTACCTAAGGGAATATGTTATTTAAATCCAACTGGGAGCAGTACTAAAAATGTTAAATTAAGTATAGGATGGTGCTTCCTGTGACTAAATTTTTCACTGTACTTTACTGATTTATTGATATTTATTAATTAAAAATGTGGGACAGCACACACCAGGGTGTAGGGCTATAAAGAGAGAGATCGAAATATGTATGGCTTGTTTCCCCCTCCCCCACACCCTTACATACACTTCCTTCTCAGGCACTGAAAGTACTCACCCTTTAGCCTTGTCTTTATGACTTGCCACCCTGGAGTTGTGTTCCTTACTAAGACATACATCCATATGCATTTATGGGTGTATGTGCGATCCGCAGTGTTTTATTTATAAGTGGCCAACTCATTGCAGCACTGAGACATGCATTTACAAACAGATATCTGTTTTATGAAACCCTACTCCTTTGTTTTAATAGCTGAGCTATCCAGCCATAGCATAATAATGTACAAGGTAAATGGGTCTCCATCTCTAGAACCTGTTCCAAGTTTTCTCAAATGTGACTAATTGCAAGAATTTCCCAACCATCAAAGAGACGCCACCGCCAAAAGACCAGTTTATTCCAGACATGAAACCTGCACAGTTATAAATTGCAGAGGTTTTTAGGGGTGAACTTTAACTTGAAACTACCCTGAAAATGGAGATTTGCTCCAGGGGTAACGCGAGGGAGAAAGCTACCTTCCTGGAAAGCACTCATGATGCAAAAGGGAAACATCCTGTTATTTTATACTCCGGGATGAAATCTGTATTGTACAGAAGAAGTTTGGGCACTTAGGGTGTTTATTAGGATGGTGTACAAACCTCTAGATGAAAACCTCTAAGCTGGTATCTGTAAAATGCTTATTGTTTAAAGTGGTAAAAGAAAATTGGTCAGGATGTGCTCTGAGTGCAATAATCTAAAGACAGGGAATGGTATATACACAGAACATGAGAAAGAACAGACTATATTATTTACTAATGCTCGATCCTGGCGTTCTTCTAACAGCTTGTGCATTGTCAAATCAACAATCTGCACTAAATAAATGACCATTTGGGAATGGCTAGGGAATGTCTCTGTTCCTCTCCCTGCTCGACAGTTTTTAACTGTCATTTGCAATCAAAGAAAGCAGCCTTGGAGCTGAGAACACAGCACCCGCAGCCTTATAGTTGTCTCTTTCTGAAGAAACACCAAAGATTCACATTAACTTGATCTTTTGCAGCCAATCTAATTTCATTCTGCATGATTCCAAGAGGACTCCACGCCATGTTCAGAATCTCCTGCAGGACTGCGCTAAAAACTTAATATGCTGACTCGCTTTTCTGTTACCAATCCTTTGGATTCTGAGAGGCTGTAACAGCAAATGAGGACAAGGAATAACCCAGATTAACTTGTGACCCTTGAGTGTGAGGCGAAGTAAGAGAGTTCTGGCTTAAGTTTCAAAACGGTGGTGGGTTTTTAAAAAGTAAAAACCACTATCTGAGCTTCGAAAACACCTACCCAAATGGAGTAAGTAATGCGGCCTCTCTAGAGCCTGTGGATGTTTTAAATGCCATTCTGGTTCTTTTAACAGAACGTTAAGCACAGATATATAACTACAGAATGTTCATGTAACTAAAAAAATGTACTTACCATCAGGTCTTCAGGTGCTGGTCTTTCTTTTGGTTGTTTTCGCATACTGTAAGAGGAAGAAAAGCGCATCGTTTTCTTACGGATTTGTGCTATACTTTCCACTATGGACTATTTTCCCTGGATTCTGAATGATTTCAAATTCATCATGTTCAGTTCTTGGCCAAAGTATGAGCATATATTCCCTTTCTTTTATTTGGGCCTTTAATTAATCAGATTTTGGGGGAATCTCATGAATCAGAAACACAAAGATTTTTTGGGAGGGAGTTATTCTCGCATTACAGATGAAGAATGAACTTAGATTTACCTAATTCCATTTTTGAAATAAATGTGGGAGAAAAAAAGCAGCAATATTTTCCTGACTCAGTTCTCAATTTATTTCAAACTTAAATCTAGGGAACAATAGACTTCTTTTTTGGCAACTGGGATAAGGTAATAAGAAAAGAAACATGACTATCAGGTCAAGTGAGAAAATATTTTATTCCTTCATTACGACTCTGAATGACAAGTAATACATAAAAGAGGTCAGGAATCTAGATAATGCTACAAAATTACAAATGGGCTGTTACATTAGCTCAACTTTTATTTATTCTGGCTACCATGCAAGTCGATATTCATTCAACAGCTGGGGAGGAGTTAAGTTTGTTTAAGCTGTTTAAAGAATCATATTCCTCATACAAAATATTTCCTGTCTTACATGCAATGTGTCATCAGTAGCTGTATCATGTACAAAGCTACATGGTGAAGCACTCACGTGGGGGACTGACGTGACTATGAGTAGTTACCTATTTGGTGGCCGTATCTATACTAAACTGAGTGTCTGTGGGATAAAGTCATGAAAAGAAACTGCTTCTTTTGTTACTTCTTCTTTATATAAGGCAACCTCTAACAAGCAGGAGGAAAACCCGTCATATGATCCCTGCATTTGCTGACAGTATGTTTTTTTTTTTAAGCAGAGAGACTTAATGATCATTTGGTAAATAAGAACCGTAGTTATGAACCATTAATGACATTGAGGACATTTGCCTTCCTTATAAATAACCATATGCACCTCTCAAATACTGCATCCATTAGCAAGTAATTCAAGCTGTCTCGCCAGTGGAGTTGGTAACAGTCCTAATCTGACATTCCAAAGTAGCTGTATCTCTCGGGAAAACAAGGCTATTACCCACTATCATTTCTGTTTCAGCTTGACATCTGTGGAAATTTCAACACAGGTTATCCCTCCCCCTATCTCCATAGAACTTTTACATAGCAGCTGATTAATTTTTTGGACAGAAGGAAGGCAAGGCCTTATCTGCTTTCTCCCGTCTGCCCAGAACCTGCCCCACCCCCAAGCGGGTCTCAGGCCACACAGTGAGCTACAGAGCCGTCCTGTCACAAATCCCACAGCGTCGGGCGGGTGATGCCCAAACCAGTGCTCCGGGCAGCTTAGGGATGGCACGGTTTATTTTTCAATTTCTGCATTTCAAAATGGGGCATTCCCATGATGTGCTTCTGAGTGTTTCTAGGAATTCCATGTAAAGGAAATTAAGAGAGATTAATACGCATTTCTGGATAATGGCTCTATATTATTGATGAGCTCAGGATTCCAGGGTTCAACTGATATATATGCTTTTTCCAACATGGCATGCTTTGGAAATAAAACGTCTGCAGGGTAAAAATAGTTTTTAAAAGCTACAGAATATTATATAAGCATTTTAAATAAATAGAAACAGTGTTAATAAAATTTTTAAAATCAAGGGAAAAAAAATCTCTTCCTCACATATTTTTCCATGGAGTATAAACCGTATGAGACATTTTTATTAAGAGGTAACATATTACACTTAGTCAAAAAGGTGATAAAGCTTGACATTTATATTAAGGAATATTTCTTGGCTTCACTTTAGTGCAGTCATCAGATGGATCATGGGGGGGAGGGGAAGGGGACAGTGCACAACCATTTGGTTTAGCAAGGACTCCCGATTGCACCATTTTGAGGCACCACAGGAACGAAGGGTTCATTTTCCACCACTGAACGTGACTCTAAAGGGTGATGAAATGGAATTCGGTGGACGAGGGGAAGGAATGTAGAGGTAGTTATAAGAAAGTTCCAGAATGTCCAGAACAGTTTCTGGCTAGTTCTGTCTCCTGCTTTGTGGTGGTCATTGCTATGCTCCCAATTTCCTTCTCTCTCTCCATCTCCTTCTCTATGCTAGGGCGAGGGAGAGGGCAGGAGGGCAGTGGAGCAACAAGGCAGTCCATGGCCACCTGGGTGCTGCTGAGTGGGGAAGAGGCAGGTGGATGATGTGAAAGGGGGAACCTCATTCTACTGAGGGGGAAAAGGCAGAGGGCTGGCAAAGAAAATGCCTGTTTCCTCAGGTGTACAATGACCCGGGGTTGCCTGGAGGCTATGAGGGCCCGTTTGATCTGAATCCTGTGGTTCTTCACAGTTCTTTAATGGTTCAAGTGGGCCTAATGGAACCCTGTTTTCATAGTCTTTCAAATGTCAAAATTCACTGAAATGGGACACCAGTATTGTGTTTAACATATAACCAAAGATAAAAGTTATTTACTGAAAACCCAATGAATTAATAAACTATGCTGCTTCCACTAAGTGACAGACAGTTTTATGGGTAACTTGAGGTTACATTAATAAAAATAAGCTTCATATGTCTGTTCAATAGGGGCTATAAAACTGTATTTCTTAAAAAAAAATTTGATAGCAACAGTATCTGTGCTCGAAGAAGTAGCCCGATTCTCAGCAGTTTATTAAAACAGGAAAAAGCCTCTAAAGTACATTTACGACCCTTTGTGTAAATAACGTTTACATAATTTAAACAATTTCTTCAGCTTTGCTGCCCCATCTGCCCAAGGCCCCGAAGTCCCTCCCGTCTCCAAGAGGAAGCAGGGAGAGCCATAAGGTCTCACGGAGCCGCAGAGTTAATGGCATGTATCATTTACATTGAGGGCATGGCATGTTTGCAAACGGGCTCACCACTGAGTGATGAAATGTACAAATGGCTCGGAGAACTCTCCAACCGGAAGGACGGGCGAATCCTGGGATGGAGGAAAAACAAGTCACCAAAAGTCACAACAATTCCTTTTCTTCCTTTATATGCACCCCCCCCCCACCGCCCCCCAAGGAGCAAGATGAAGATGAATCTATAGCAAGGATTCACCACCATGTGGAAAGGAAAATAAGGCCTCATCCAATTAAAAAGGCTGTCTACACCCTCTCCATGTTTACGTAAAAATGCCAAATTTAAAGCCACACACATTTTACAATGGTGAGAAACACGAGAGCCAAGAGGGAGGGGAGGTGAAAACAGGACAGTCATAGCCACAGGGTAGGAAAGAAGGTAGGAAAGTGTAAATGAGAAATTAACGATTATTTAAGTAACACACAAATGGTCTTGTAATTAACAAAGAGCTGTGAAATTATTCTTGTGTTGACCTTTGTTTCTTTTACTGGATTTGCTATTTATTTACACTTTCCTTTTTATTTACATTTGTTTGTATATTCAAGTGCTCTTAACTGCTTGCTGAATCATTTGGGTCAGGTTTGTTTTGTTTTTGTTTTTTATTTTAATAGAAAGGCTTTTATAGGGGCAGCTGTTTCCTGAAAAGGAATTTTAGCCTGTTTGCCAGTCTGGGCAAACTTGTCATGTGAGAAAGGCAGTGAATTAAGGACACAATGAAAAACTCCCACCTTGACCACCAAACAGAACTGGGGTGGAGGTGGGAGCCACTTAAAAGAGCAGGAAACAACGCGGCCACAAATGACAGCCACTGAGTAACACAGGGAGCAAACCCCATTACCATTTGCAAAGGAAGGCTTTAAGAATTTAGGAGTTTTTCCAAGAATGACAGAGAGCGCCACTGTGTTTATAGTGTAGCGGCTCAGGATGTAATGAAATTACACTGCAGAGTACTTTAACAGTCATCTCATTAGACCTCCAGTTGGAACAAGACAGCCACATAACGTAGGCAGCTGCAAATGACTCCATTCCCGTCTATTCTCATTTGCTATTAAAAATACCTTTCGGCGGCTTTTTTCCTCTCTGACATCCCTACACAAAGTGCCCTGCAAAGTATGATACATGCACCTATTTAAATTAACAAAGGAATGACTTATTTTAATCTCACTGTGCTTTGGAGTGCTTTGGCCATTTGGATGAGCAATATATCATTACATACAACCTTCCAGCGCTGCAGGCAAGAAACTCAGAGCATGCAGCATTTGGTGGGAGCCAAACAATTTCTCTAGCACACAACTGTGTCAAATGCATGCATGTATTCATTATTGAGAACGAGAGGAAATAGCTTTGATGTAGTGGAAAAAAGAAGATGATAAAAGCACCTCTGCAATATGCGTGTCATTATCAATGGTGGCAGATAGATACAATTGCACAGCCTCCTATGTGATTAGTAAATATACATATAATTGCTGTGGCCAATTATCAGAAAAATGAGATCGGTAATTACAAGACAGAAAATTAACTAGAACTCTTATTAAGGCTTTGTTTCCAATTCAAACAATTGGAAACTGCTGGAAAATACAATTAAATCAAAAGGAACTGAGGTGGTCAGAGCAGCCAAAAAAACAAACAAAAAAAATCCCAAAGAGGTTAAAAGAAACGGAATGTGAACAAAATGATCCTTAGATTTTGCCTATCTGTCCTCTTTGAATGTACTCTATTCATCTAGAGCAGGAGAAGATTAGTAATCATACACTTAAAATTCTCATCAGTAGAGAAAGGCTTCCAAGAAGAAAGGAAAACAAAGGGAAATGGGAGTGAAATAAAATCTTGCGAAGTTCAAAGGATTACATGCAGGCATTACACAGAGAGGACATGAAAAACAGGGGGCTGATGAAACCGTCCACTCAGAAGAAACAGGCACGCGATAATATGACAAGTCTTCGATAAAGGTACTATAAAATGGTCACAGAAGTCCCATTGGTTTGAAGAGCAAAAATAAAACATGATATCAATTTCAGCCCAGCCTGTTTTAGGAAAGCCATATATATATCACTGTGCCTGCAAGATTCTACAAGGCCCAGTTCAAAAAAATGACATTTCACTGTCTCAGAAACTATTAGTAAAAAAATGGTTCAAAGTCTGAGGTGCCAAAACTATGGACTCTGATCAAGTAGTTAGTCCTCCAAGTCATCATTTCCGAAATTCTTTTGGAGGCTCTAGTACTGGAAGTGTCTGAGTAGTAGTTGATTTAAAATGCAATGTTTAGGAAGATAAAAGCCTACTGCCTTAATGTGGCTGAATATTTACTAAGATGGTTAAAATTCTGTACCGGTTTTCTACAAAGATCCTAGTATAAAACATGATGCTAATGTGGGCCTCATTTCAAAGTATGATACCAAGAGTAAATTAATGAATTATAGACTAGGCAACTTGATGAAGATGTCATTTTAACATGGATGAGAAACAAAACGAGGGAATGTGACATCTTTGCATGGGTAGTTAATTTTATTTAAGACCTGATATTGTAGCCTGTTAAGTTCCTCATAATATAAAACTAAGGAACACTGGGTGGTACCCATGAATAATTTATTTCACTTGTGAAAATGCCAGCCCAAGTCGACTTTACAGAACCGCAGAGTGGAGTCTCATCTCAGGGGTGCCTGGAAAGAATCACTCATCAGAGATGTGGGAGAAATTCTAATCTTACATGCATAATGCCAGATATTTCTTTTCCTTTTCAAATCCGTGTCTCTTGCATACCTCAAAGGAAATTTTCTGAGACACAGAAGACTGAGTGGCGGGGGGTGAGGGGGGAGGTGGTCAGAATGTCACGCACAAACATGGGGCGGAGGGGTGAGCAAAGGAGTCCTCTGAGAGCCTCCCACTCCACAAAAGCACGCAGGCTGTTAACACTCCAAAAGAAAGCAAATGAAGAGACCTGATGGTGTTCACCACACTGGGAGGATTTTAAAGAATACTTTTCTCATTTTTAAGCAAGTAAAATCAGAAGTTTGTTTAGAAGAGCATTGTAGAACACCTCCGAGAACCTGCCTGATTCTTGATGGAATTCAAATCTGCGTGAAGGAGGGAGGGAGGCTGAGTGGAGCTGTCCCAGTTTCCCCCGCAGCTCCCAGGGAGGGGGAAGCATCCAGTCACGGCTGGGTTAAAGGGAGCCTGAGGACTGTGTCAAGGGGTTCAGGGAAGATGAACAAATACATTTCAAAAATATGAACATGAGCTGGAGAAGCAGTTGCACTAATAACTCTCAGGCCTGGCTGAAACCGACTCTCAATTGTTAATAAAAGTCACTCTTTTTAAGACCCTGGGTGCCACACTTCACCTTAAGGGCTTTTTTTGGGGATGCTTTTCTGTTGAACTTTCTAAGCACAGAGGTATGGAATGAAACAGTGGACACAACCTTAACCAGAAGCCTTAACCTGAGATTCTAGTCCCAAATCAACTTTAGAGTCCTGCTAAAGGGACACAAGCTGGATCTTGTTATCGAGCCGGCAACTGTTATATAAAAACAGCTGCCGTAAACCATTTCAGTAAGCAATTCTGGTCATCAAGGAGGACAGTCTCCAAGTCTCAGAGGTTTCAGTAACTACCTGGTCAGCCCCTTTTGCTAAACAACTGGAACACAAGCACGTGGCATGCTAGAGAACAGCGAAGGACAATGGGAAAAAAGTTTGAGTGATGCCTTTGCCTTGTGAATAATGAACAGTTCAGGAAGGTCAACCCATTACAACTGAAACTGTTTAATTATTAATTATGCACAATCTATGAGTAAAAGGACAAGTTCAGAATGTTTAATGTATGCTAACTTCAACTGGACTCTCTCTGGGTATTTTGTTATTAGCACTTGTCAGCAAGGTACTCAGGCATAAAAAAAGGCAAGCAGCAGAAAATCTGAGTGTGTGTGTGTGTGTGTGTGTGTGTACCTACACACTCAAAGAGCAGGGGAGGGGAGGAGGGAGAAGGAGGGCTGATTCCAATCACTGCTAGTTCACTTGCAGACTAACTATGCCAATAAGCACACTTCGTGACCTTGAGAGCAGGCAGATAGGCTGGGTACTCTAGATACAGAAAATATAGATGAGGCAAATGCTTTTGAAATCAGTTACTTAAAAGAGAGATCATTATTTCAAAGGCATAGTTTTTTTGTTTTAAACTATGATGTTTCTTGGCTTTGGAAAGACCCAGGACAATGTTTGTGCATATACGCGTTCCCCCATGTGCACGCACATGCATGAGTGCATGGAAAATGGGTAGAATCTGAATTCAGCGGATTATATCAATGTCAATTTCCTGGTTGTGTTACTGTACTATACTTATAAGCTATTAACACTGGGGGAAACTGGGTGAAGGGTAAACAGGCCCTCTCCACAGTATTATTATTTTTAATTATTCCTGGTTTTTTTTTAGAGAGGGAGAGGGGAGGGACCGAGGGAGAGGGAGAGAGAGAATCTTAAGCAAGCTTCACGCCCAGTGTGGAGTCTGATGCAGGGCTCGATCTCACGACCCTGAGATCCTGATCTGAGCCATAGTCAAGAGTCAGATGTTTAACCGACTGAGCCACACAGGCGCCCCTCTCCATATTATTTCTTACAAGTGCATATGAATCTCAAATGATGTTGAAATAGAAAGTTTAAAAAGAAAAAGGTAAGGAACTATTTTTAAAAACTCTGATGAGGTCCAGATTCTTGGCGAGCTTAGATTTGTGTAAGGGGAAAGGCTCGTATAACTACTCGATGGGAAAAAGTTAAGGGAACTTTGCCTGAAAAAATATACCTGCGTATTTAACGTTTGCCTTTAATTCCTAATTACAGATAATAACGAAACCTGACAAGGATATGGTAGTTAATTCAAACATTGATAGGGCATAGACATAAAGTGCTCTATAATAGAGATGATAGTCATTCATTGCTTATTTACTGGTTTGTTCATTCAGTAATTTTCTTGACCACCTACCATGCCAAAGGCTCTGAGCCTGGCATTGTGGGATGACTAATAATTAATCCATAACCTTAAAGAATTTGTGTACTATTCAGGGGGACAAGATGTGTACCACTAATA